TGCATGACTCAGTGTAGGGAGTGGGAGACTGACATGGGAGGAAATATTCCTGTGGGATTTAACACTTTCCATGATAAGTCAGAACTCAGCATTCATTTTACTACTTTTACAAGTCAGTTTTTCACAGATAGACTCTCCTCATGTCTCCTTTTCTCACCTGTCTCCTTGTGGTCTGTGTTTGTTTGGACACTTAAAATTCATTGTCTTCTATGTGCAAGTGCAACTCTTTTGTTTTGTTTTTGTTGGTTGCGTTTGCTCATCAGTCTGCAACTTCAGTCTCGGTGTCACTTAAAATCCTAAATTTCAGTCTTACATCAAATTTTTACAATTGTGAATCCAATGTCGCTAAAGTAAAATTCCTGAGGATATGTCCGGTTACAGTGTGGTTATTTATGTTTCTGCAGGGATTTATATGGATGGAGATTAGTTGTTTATTTTTACATGACTGTTTCATTTACGTCAGCTCAAGTTCTGCAGTTCTAAAACAGGATTAACATTACTTGAGGATATAAAGAATCACATATTTCCCTTGTTCTTTGGATGAATGAATGGATGGATACTAGAGTAAAAACAGTTACAAAAAGCAGGGACATTTATTATATAAAACATCAACCAACAGAAGCTGAAATTGCCCTGGAGTAATACGTTTTTAAACTAACACTTCATCCTATGAGATGCATAACAGCAGACTGCAGTTTCCCTTGTTTTTTTTTTTTTTGTAATAAATTGGCCATTAAAGATAATGCATTTTTGTATATTCTGCAACCCATACAGGGTGGATGATGAATAACATGACAGTTTATTTAAAATAGCCTAGTAAATTAAAAAAAGACAGTTCTTGTTGCATGGAGAATACAATGAAGGGTGCTGAAACTGTCCTCAGTGATACATTGAAGAGAACTGTGGTACATAGCATCAAGGGGCTTAAGAGTATTGGCAGCAAATTAAAGTAAATTACATCTACATAGAGAAGGACTGGTGCAGTCTTTAACCCACAGTTCTTAAGCCCTGACACACAAACATAAATCTCATATTCATGCCATTTGGTGTTATTTCCTCTTCCTTTGGATATCATTATCTCCAAACTTCATTGTGACCGATAAATCGGCTTAAGAATTTTAGGGGAAAAAAGTCTTTGTTGAACCTGCCTGGCACTTGTCACATTGTTAAAGTAATCCAGGGATTGTTGTTTGTACAGCAGTGAGTACTTTGCAGTCAGGAACTGCTAATAGCTAATATGGCATTCTTTTAATGGTGCTTATTAAAAAACTCTCACTAGTTAGACTCAGTACTTAAAAGAATAGTAGCACCAAAGATGTCTCTGCTTCTGCTGGCTTTAATTATAACAAGAGTGGTTTCCCAAACACACCTACATGCCAGTGTTGGCATTTTCAGAATCATTTTTGTCTTTTTCTAATTTTCTGCTATTTTTTTTTGACCCACCTACAAATATAAGAATGTCTACTAGACAATATTTAAATTACAGATTGGGGGGAAAAACAGGAAAAAGAGTAATTGAAACTGGAGCAGTAATTATTACTCCAAAATTAGCAACGAGGGGACATTGTGCACTCCTTTTGGAGGGGGCACAGTGGGGTCCCAGGGGGTGGGGGTGTTACTCTGCCTTCTTATGTTAGCAGGTACCTGGCATTAACATATGGCTTGCTTTACTGTACACCAATGAGGTTGTTCATATGAAAGTGAAAAGTTCTCGTTCTTTCATAATATGAGATGAACTATGAAGAAATTTGACTAATTCAGTAACAAACATTTGCATTTCAGTTCACTTAAATAAGTTCAGTTTCATTTATATAGCATGGAATCACAACAGTTGCCTAAAGGCAGTTGTTATATTAAGGTAAATGGAATATGTAGTATAATGACTTTTTTATATAATATGACTAAACAAATAAAGTAGACCAAGAAATTCTAAAGCTGCTGTATAGTAATCCCAAATATTGAAAGTCTGTGCAAAATTCTTCATTTTGCTTTATATTTACTGTTTCTATGATGTGATGATGGAAATAAAACATTCGTATGAAGATGACTTGTTAGCTGTTTTACTACTACTCTTTCAGAAATTAAAAAAATGTGATGATTGGTCAATAATTGGCTAAGACAGTTGGGTCAAGTGATGGTTTCTAAGTAATGGTTTAATTACCACCACCTCAAAGACATATGGTTTGATCATACCTAAGATCAAATAATTATTAATAGCATGACTTCTTTGAGCAGTCTTTTAAGAATGAGGTCTAACAGACATGTTGATGGTTTGGAAGTATCAAAATATCAAAGCTAACTCAGAAAGATCAGAAGCTTAAAGGGCCTGATTTACCTCTCGGTTCTTTTGTCAGGGTTTTTGGATCCCCCCCCTCCCCCCTTTTCCTACTGTGTCAAGTTCTCCTGTGTCCAGTCTTCCAGTTATTATTTTCCTGTATTGTTTTGGTAATCATGTATCTTCTGGGTCTTGCATTTAATTTTATTTCCTGTCATTGGCTTAATTAGTTTCACCTGTGCTTCATTTCCCCTGCTGTGTCTCATTCCTCCGATTAGCCCTCAGTCTGTTCAAGTGTGTGTTTATAGACTTGCTCTAGTCTTTTGGTCTTTGTCTGAATGCTTCCCTTGTGACTGCCTGCCATTTGGAGTTGGATTTTCTTTGTTGTTTTGCTTCATCCACTTTGTACTTTTAAAAAGACTTTTCTACCATCGTTAAAACGTGTATTTCTGCTATTTCTGTGACAAATATACAATATAAAATTGGTTTTCTGTTAAGTTGTCTGTTCTGTTATGACACATGAATGATTCATAGGTCAGCATTAACAAACAAGCAAACTAAATAAACTCCAAACACGTGTCTCTAAAAATGGTCAGGTAAACAGACTTGTCTAAGAGTTTAGGTGGAAAAAGTAGCCAGTGCCCAAAGAAAAACTATGAAAGACTTTCACAAATAGTTTCACAACTATTGCTCAATACCATTTGGAGAAAGTACAAGAATTCCTGGCTCACTGAACAAAAATGTAAAGACATTTGCACAGTACAGTACATTCTTGCAAAACGGGCAAAATCTTTTCCATAGCCTGAGTAAATTTAGCCTCACATCAAAAAAAGTAGAGAAATTAAAATGAGAAAATATGGCCGATAACGTCTATCACAGCGAATGTTTGCATTTCTAATTTACAGGGACGTAATTAACAGTCTGTGGATTATTTTCTCTAATGAAGGACGACTTTTATTTCCAATTATCCCCACAAAGTCACCTCGTGTTCTCCTGAGCTGCAATAATAACATAAGTTAGTGTATTTAGGATCCTGTAGGAATAATGGTTCATTTTATCAGCCTGACTGAGTACATTAGATAAGAGGCTAATGTGATCGTTTGAAGTTCTAGTGCAGGTTAACCGTGAACCATGCTTTAATATGAGCAATGGCTCCAGACTTTCCAGTGGCTCCACTTTAGAACCCAGATATACCAGTAGCTAGAAAAGTCTGTTTTGCAAGTCACTTGAGATATTTTTAGTTAAATTACACACTTTTCTTGTAATTAGCCCAAACTGTGTAGCTTGTCTCTTAGTTTACTCAGTTCACAGCTGTCTGTCTTTCATATTTCAGGGAATTGTGTACTTACAAGGAATACCTTATTGAAATACACAAAAGTTTTGTTAGAAAAAAAATCATATTGACAGCTGACAAAGACAAATTGCTCTACAAGCGTAATTATTCAGACCTCAGCTCTGAAATGACAAGCTTCCACAGTGGAAGCAGGCTGGCAAACAGAAGTGATCATGGGAAAATTTTGGTGATTTTCACTTTGACTTGATACTCAATACTAGTCAATTAAAAAAGGATGTCTTTCAAGCACCTTACAGGTTTCTATCTGTAACCTATATTTATCGGTTCTTCCCACCCCTTCTGCTATAGCCAAGATGGTAACTTTTATTGCATTGCATGAAGATACTTCACATCAGTTTGAACACACTTACATACTTACGTGGCAAGTGTCCATATGGAGGTGTGCAACTTTAAAAAGCAGTACCATAGGGTTTCCAACATCCACAAATGGTTGAGTCGGAGCCAAACTTTGGAATAAAATCGCAGTAAAAAAAGCTGTTTTTCTTTTCTTATTAGTGTCTTGTTTAATCTTCTGTTCCTCGATCCTACTTGCTTTTCTGACCCCGACAGCAGTGTGTTTTCTTCTAGCATGACAGCGATGGCTGTGCTATCATGCTATGAAAATGACTCCCAGCTTTCCTGACTTTATCATTAATACTAGAGCCTTAATGTTGCTGATCTGGTATTTCGGTACACCATACTTGCTGTGGCTCAAGATGTTGTCGCACCTCTTTGTTTGTTTATGTGATTGTGCAGAAAATACATATATTTGGTACTTTGCACTGAGTTCTGTTAAGTTAGCAGATTTGTGATGCGGAGAAAAAATATTCTCCAAATTCTGGAGTACAATGAACATACAGTGAAGTTCTAAGTGTTTGTTATTCGGTGTTATAAGTACATTATTGATATTACTCTAATGCATAATACACAATATGCAACGTAAACTAATATATATGCCTTATTTGTACTTGTCCACCTGCATTCTTGTTACGTTCAGGGTTAGGGTGTACATTATATATAGGTGTGAGAATAATAATGATGGTGACTGATAGGTACATTTCATTTCCCTTACTTAATATGCAATATTTCTTGCCACTAAACTGTATTATGTTCTCCATATGTGAACTATTCTGGTGTAGAATTCTGTTTTCTCTTCTATGTGATGGTGACTGCAGTGTTTGTACCTTGGTTGTGACTACAGGAATAGCTATAACCCAAAAACTGTGCAGCCTTCCTGTCCAGCTTTCAAGTTGTGCGTCTTTGCAAAAACAAATAGTCCAGACTGTTTAATTATAGTAAATATCATTTGAACATGTTGGTTTCTTGTTTAGTTTTGCTGCACTCACCTCTAATGTCTCAATTTTATATTTTTCTCTGTCTGTTGTCCACCAGAGCCAAGAAGAAGACCAAGCCCTTGAACCTTAAGATCCACAGCAGTGTGGGCAGCTGTGAGAACCTGCCCACACAGCGCTCACCCCTCCACACTGAACGATCTCTGCGATCCTTCTTCTTCCCCTCTTTCATCCCTTCTACACCACCTGTTCATGCTGAAACACCCTCTGCAAGTAAGTGAACATCTTTTTTTTAAATATCGCACACTGATTTTTTAAAATGAAATTACATTTTTCTTAATACTTTGAACGTATCCCTTTCATAATCTACTCTACTGCTACTCTGATTATTTAGTTCTCTGGCAATGTTTCATTCCTGGGATGTTGCTCTGCTTTTAGTTGGGTCAAGTCTCAGTTGGTTCATCAGTTTTTTGTCACTATGCCTTGCCACCTGCAGAAACCACTTGCTTTAACTGCTCTTACTTAACTGCTGAAAGTAATTATTTTTGTTAAAAAATGCTTTAGTACAGCTCTGCTGGTAAATGCAATAAATAGACAATCAGGTCGTGACAATAATGACCGGAGGTTGTGTGTTGCTGCACACTGGCAGCCTTATTGGCTGATACATTAAGACATTCTGCGGAAGCCATTAGATTGAGGAGATGGGGATGGGGGAAATGCAGGGAAACAAAGTAATGGAAGTCTTGTCAATGAAACGGGTGATGAATGGATAACACTCAGTGTTCGGAATCCATGCAAAACTTCACTAACTGGTATAAGGGACAAAGCTGTGCATACTTGTTGGTTGAGGCATGACATGGAATAATCACACATTTAGAAAAAGAAAAAAAGGAGGTGAAAGGTGAAATTGAT